GGGGGGGGGGGGGGCGCTCATGAGAGTAGCACCAGGTGAGTTGATTGGCACAGCTGCTGCTGATTTGTTCTGATTACATCGCTCCCTTTTTCATACAGTAGTGTGCTGGCACTCAAAGGACTGCGGCCCAGACTGGGGAGAAGGACACTGCTTGAGTTTTTGGTTTGAAACTGAATGGACTGGAAGACATGTGCTGGAGGAGTCGGGCAGCTGTAGGCACATGTTGAGGATTGATTTTGTTGTTGTGTGCTGGGTCATGGTAAACAAAAGTATTGCATATAGATGGAGTGTTGAATCTGCACATCTGTGCTTGGGAACTCACAGAGGTAGCAAGACGGCTACACTCCTGTTTGAGTATCCTTTTCTAAAATCTATAGTACCCACCTGTTTCAGGAAATTATTTAGTCTTTTTAAAAATGAAACTATGTATTTGTAACGTGTTTATACAGATTTATGAATTCAGGAACAAACAGGCTTAGGGCTTAAAGTCAGGGTTATGAAGTTCTAAAGAGTTATTAAACCCCAGAGTTTCAGTTAAAATACTTATACCCTGGAAATACAAAACCCGCCTCTGGAACATCAGAAAAAAAGTATCAACATGTGCAGGGTTGGGGGTGAGGGGGCTAAGAAAAACGCAGAGGCAACCTTTGTCGGGGCATCTGTGGCTTAGTGGATAGAGCAGGTGCCCCATGTACAAGGTTGCTGCTGCAGTGGCCCGGGTTCGACCTCAGCCTGTGGCCCTTTGCTGCATGTCTTTCCCTCTCTCTCTCCCCCTTCACACTTAGCTGTCCTATCAATTAAAGGCAATAACGTCCAAAAAAAAATCTAAAAAAACAAACAAACAAAAAAACAACCTTTGGCTATGCTTCAGCGAAACACTGCTACATGTCTCCGTAGATAGGCATTTATGCACAATGCGTTGTTTGTTGCAATATGCTCCGCAATGCCAGGGAGTGTACAAACAAAATATTCTATAGATAAGCAAGTAGATAAGTCATCTAGTGTTACCAGAAGAACGTTACCAAAACAGTCAGCTGCCAATAATTCAAGGTAATCTTACTGTCCCTGTAATCACTCAAAGAAGAGTCATAGAGATGTCTGTGCAGACAAACGTGCTCCACCAGTCTTCCCTGTTGAAGTGAAAGGCGCAGCACAGGTAGTGGGCACCTAAAAATTTAGAGGTGCATGACCAAGCTCCGCTACAACTTACGAAATCCACATAAAGAACATGGCTAGCTTAAACCACACATTGCTCCTTCCTGCTGTGGAAAAGTGGAGGGGGTGGTTTGTGACGAAAGCTGTTAGCATTTTAGCATGTTAGCACCTGCCACCACATCAGCCAATAGCAAAATTCAATTGCATGAGCCGGGTTCCAAACAGTAGAGGGCAGTCGCTATGTACAATATGTACAATTTGAATAGTTTGCACTAAAATGTCAAGATTTTCAAATATCCATAAACACTGGTTTTCAGCTGGAAAAGTGGTTCAGTTATTTGAGTAGAGTGATAGAATAATGCATTGTTGGTTTTCGTCTTTTCAGGGGAACATCTTCAGCTATCCTCTGACCAAATCACAAAAGTACATGCACACAGTGGTTTCGGAAATCCTTAGTAGCAGATGTTACGGCACAACTGGATTGACCCTGTTGGTCAGGATATGAGGGAGGGTGATGTGTGCAGAGGAAGTGGAGCTGGCTGTTCCACTGGCTCACTGTAACAGGAAATTCTTTCCTGTTTGATCCTATTGTCTCTGTTGACAGGATGTGACAGCATGAGATGTTGGTCACGTGTGGCGGTCAGGATGTGTTTTGCTAGAGCTTGATTACTTCATCCTTATTTCTGTTTATGATGCTGAACAAAATCAGTTTAACCTTTGCACACGTAAGAAGCAACTTATACTGTGGTCATTGCTTCTGTATGTGCCTTATAGATTTTTTTCCTAACCATATAATAAGCTCACAACATGTCCAATGCGACCTTTGGCTGCAGGGTCAAAGGTCAGCACACACGCGTCTCTGATTCATTTCAGCACACCAAAATAAAACCTGAGCAGGCGATGCACTTTTACATAAAGAAGTCTGTTTATTATTCGATAGATATCATTATGCATCTTCATATAATAGTTCTAATACCAGTAAGTCAAAAATAATAATCATATTATATTTATATATATAGATATATAGAAAACTAATCCAATAATCTACTTTTTACTTGGACTTTACTTCCTTGTAAAAAACAACATGGAGAAACGTATAATCTTCTCCCCAGCTTCAATATAGGCGCTTTAAGGGAGCAAAAAAGATAATACAAAAAAGAAAAATTACACCTGAACATTGCATCTTATAGAACTAGAACATCTGTCAGCAGCTAGTAATGATGACCATCTTGGTTTAAGACACAGGAAGAGGTTGTTTTTTTTTCTTTGCTAGAACATCTTTGACAATTATGCTTTTTGTTTTGTTTTTAAATTCATTTGAAGATGATGGATCATGTGATCGGCTGGAATTGGAGACCGAGAGACAGAACGTTAAGATTACACCAGTCTCATTACACACTTTGAAGATGATGGATATCTGAAGATGAAGGAGAAGAGGGAGAGAGTGGATAAACAGGGTGGGAAAGAGGGAAAAGTGTGGGATAATGATTCAGGTTTTGAACAGCAGGGTATACAAAGTTTAATTTATGTGCTTCTCCACCAGTGATGTACATTTGTAAACAGAGGGTAGCGGCACAAAACAGTGCAGAGTCCTCTACATCTTCTTTCACCGATCCCCGGTGTCCCTCCCTTTCTGCAGGCGCTCTCCGGGAGGTAGCCGTGTCACAGTTGGAAGGGAGAGATATCCACTCTTATCCATTTAGCTACGGCAGTCTTCGAGTTTTACCAACCGTACTAACAGCATTCCCCCCAGAACTCCCTCTCTTCCCTCAAACTCTCGATATGTAGAAATAAAAACATGGAGGCAGGCTGTTTCAGGGCTGTGGACATGGATGAGGCCATGGACGACAGACCATCCGGAGTTTGGAGGGTGGCGTCCAGGGGCCCTCGTGTCTATCCAGGCCGGAGACACTGGAGGGCTGTACCACTGCAACCTCCCCTCCGTTTGAGGAGCCTAGCTGGTCAAGTTGGGGTCAAGAGGAGGCATCAAAGCTGTACAGGAACAGAAGAACAAGAAGAGAAGGTCTTATTACTACAGTATTATCTTGGATCTTATTGATCCTTGATTAAAAGAATTACAAAACTTAAATTCAAATGGGGTACAACTAGTAAATGCATGTGTTTTTTGGGAATGAAAAATCGTGTGCTCAGATTAATACATGTATTTCATGAGAAGTTTGATGTGTAATAGCGGTATCAAATGAACCTCATCATGAGCTAGTTGACATGAGGTCAGTCTCTCTGCTTGGTTAAGCTGAATGAAGTCAGGATTCCACCTTTAATTTAACAGGAAGTCCAGCTTCTGTTGGATAAAATCACACATTCACGACCGCTATTTTGTATGCATTCTTGCTAAATAGCTGCCTGCTAAGTAAAGCACCATAAAATATCTGCATAGCAATGCATTACTCAGAAAGCATTACTCAGTATCATGGTGATTAACACTCAACTGTTAGCAATACAAACACTCTTGGTTTCACAGCAGACATGTTGACTTGTCAAAGCAGAAAAAGCACAGGTGTTACTAATAACATTCGCGATGGCTCTGCTGTGTTCAAGTGTCCCAGTCAGCAGTGACAGTGAGCCAGCAGGCACAGGACTCTAAAACTGACTCAGCTAAATGGAATTCAGCCATCATTAATGTTATTATTTACACCTGTGCATTTCCTGCTGTGACATGTCAAAATGTGCACTATAAAAAACACCTACTCTTGTGTGTTCTCCTGCCAGATAAGTGCCAGGGTTAGTTGATGTCATAAAAACTGGCATATGATGATTTCCTCAGTGAAACATTGTGATGGATTATGATACTTTTGTTGCGGGGGCAATGATGCAAAAACCGAACCGGAACCTGACCTTCAAACCACATACCACAAACTTTATGCATTACAGTAGCACAACTGTCAGGACCAAGGACTGAAGTAAGTACAGAGTGTACGTGTATATATTTTTCAGAGAGAGTGACAGAGAGTGGGGAAGAAAAGGTGGAAGGTGGACTATTGTACGCAATGTTTCTGTAATTTATTAATAACTTACTGAGAGCGCTGCTTTGTCACTTTTTGACCTGCCTGCTGGTACCCATGATTCTTATATACCATTCATTCATTTATTCATTTATTTTCCATAACTTCTTATCCTGTTGGGGCCCGCAGGGGAGCTGGAGCCCAGCTGACACTGGGTAAGAGGCTGGACCATTCAAACTCACGTTCGCACCTACGGCCAATTTAGAGTTACCAATTAACCCAACTCTTTGGACTGTGGGAGGACGCCAGAGTACCCAGAGAACTCGACAGAGCATGCAGACTCCTCAGAGTGAGGGTTCCCCTACCCCAGAGTTCAAACCCCCAACCCCAGGTTCAAACCAAGAACCCACCTGCTGTGAGGCAAAAACAAAAATAACAATATATACCAGTTAATTTAAAAAAAACAAAAAACTAGAGACCATCTTGTGATGGGATCACTCTAGCTGCGACAAAGCTATATGTGATGTCAGGGGTGGAGGCCATAGCCCCTTCCCAACCCCCTACACCCTGAAACCAATGCACATATCGAATTTAACCTTAAAGGCAATATTCAATTCTTACAACATCAAACGTAGGTGGCAATAACTTGGTAATAGATAGATAGATAGATAGATAGATAGATAGATAGATAGATAGATAGATAGACAAGTTGCAGAAATCCTGTGGAAGCATATAAAAGAGAGAGTTTAAGAGAGATAAAATGTTCATTACTGCAGGCTTTTGTGTTGCTTATCAGTGACAGATCCTTTTGTTCGTGTCTGTCTTCACCACAGCAGAGAGAACCCATGGACGGCCATGGGACCTGACTTCAGTCTGCATTGTTAGCACATCCTTGTTGCTTTTTTCCACGCTCGCAAATCATCGACTGACATACAGTACACTTTCTTCTGTTCCTCACCTGAGTCATTGATATTTTTGTACGAGGTAAGTGGGAGTGGGCTGGAAAAGCGCAGGCACAGAAGGAATGATGAGGTGAAAAGACTGATGTGAAAGAAAAGGAGGAGGACGCCTTCATCCACAGGTAGGAAAGGTCACCATTTATGGGAGAACGACCATGAGAATGTGTGTGGAATATGCGTGTTTGTGTGCGTGTGTATCCCGGCTACGTGGGGTTGCGACTATCCTCTGGGGGGAGGTGTGTCTTGTCTTGCAGTCATTAAATATTAACACAGCCATCTTGCCCTCCCACTGGGGCCTGATTGAAGATGTAGGATGGCACTTGGGGATGGGATAGGGTCACCTCTAACTCTGTAGTCCCACTGTAAACCCACTTTGATTACACCTGGGCCAGACCAAGCATGCAAACACATTACTCATCTGGAGCTGGGACGCTGGGCTAACTCAAGGACTGACCCTGCAATGACACAGGATCACAACAGAATATAAATCAGAGATATTGTGTTGATCACTTAATGATTAGAATGAGAACAGAGAGAAAATATTGAATTATTAAGACTTGGAGATTTCCGATCATCTTCACAAATATCCTTCAACCCGACTCTTAAATGTAAATTGGTTTGGAGACTCCAGCTAAAGGAGACACTCTGTATGGTAAAACAGAATAATGGGAGCTAATTACAGGATTATGGGCCCTTGTGGAAAGAACACACAATGACCTTCATCGGTTTTTCTTCTCTCAAAGACTCTAATTAATGCAAAAGACGTTTGTGAAACAGAAACAAGGCGGAGAGGGGTTCTTACCTGTCCCATAGCTTGACATTTCTACAGTTGTTGGTGCAGCAGCCGGCTGATATCAAAGCTGTAACAGAGAGAGAGAGAGAGAGAGAGAGAGAGAAAGGAAGAGATGAGTTTTCAGTGTGTTGTTTTGACAAGAGAAGAGCGCCTCATTAATCTAAGAGCCTGTTTTCACCTGATATTACCATGCGTCTTGGGTAATCAGATCACAAGTGGACAGCTTCAAGTCTGTCTGTTCACACCTGGCGTTACAATGCATCTCAAGTGACCACCTGTGATTGGATCACACTTCCAAGCTCAATATGCAAATAAAGACGGACATCATTTCCGTTTGCAAAGATCAAATGCATTGTTGTGTTTAACCAGCGGGAGTTTGTCATGCTACACACACTTACAGCCTATTAAATAGGCTGTAAGTGCCCTCCAACCAGCGGTCCCTCTGCCTCCCCACCGCTATAGAAGATTATTGCTACAGGAGTGTGAGCTCATAGCCAGGGATAGTTGGTGATAGTTCGCCCACACACTCAAGATGACAGGGCTAACTGTCAGCATCACACCACTAATGTTACCTAAAAGTTACCGACAGGTTTAAAGGTTCAGTGTGTAAGATTTAGTGGCATCTAGTGGTGAGGTTGGACAACTGAGACTTCTCCCATGTGCCAAGCCTCTGGAACTGGTCGCAAATGGCACTATTGAGAGTCAGTGTTTGGTTTGTCCATTCTGGGCTACTGTACAACATGGCTGTGAGAGAGGACCATGAATGTATAAAGAGACCTGGATACAGCATTGGCTACGGGGCCGCGTTCATTTGTATGAAATTTGCTCAGTGGCGCATGAAACCAAAATGGTTCAACTGCTGCCTATGAAACTACCCAGATGATGCTTACAGCTGGTTTAGCGCTCCACCTACTTGAATTCGGATAAAATAATTCAATAGAGCAGCTCTTCTAAACTTTCCAAATGATATTGAACCTAATGGATTAAATTCTGATTTCGCGGGGATTGAGACACTTAAAAAAATGTATCCATTGATTTACAGACGTCTCTCATTATGTAAGCCTATGAAAAAAAGTATTTTTGGGCCACAGGGTATCACATGCAGACCCAGAAGTTATAATTGTTTGGCCATTATGAAAATTGGCTTCAAAACCTGGCACACTTCCTGGAGGCCTGGAGACATCCTGCCCTGTATGTAGATATAAACAGTTCAATCTAAGGTTGTTTCCTAGTCTCAGGAAATTATAAACTAAAAACAACATAGTTATGAATATTGTGTTCCATTTCTGTCAATGTATTCCTGAAGTGACCGTCGCCAGCCCAGGAGGAGAGCGGCTCCAGGGATGGCTCTTCGGCACTGCATCTAACCTATGTAACGGCAGCAACAGAAAGTTTTCTTATGGTATTCACTGGGCCTAAAGATGTGGAGCTGATGTCTGTGTTTTTAGACTGCCAAAACAGGTAAAATGACTCACTGATAAACCATGGAGAAGGAGGAGGCTACTACCAGTTTTTCTTTCCAGCAGAAATGCATGTAAAAGGTGAAATTAAGAATTTTTATTATTAAACTCGTCCAAGTCAACACTTGTGCAAAAACTGAGTGAAACATATATAAAATAATACTTTAACATTTGGGAAAAAAATGCTATTTTGTTAAGAGTTAGATGAGAAGCAGTACCATTTTCATGTCTGTACATTAAGTAAGGAGATATAGTCAGGAGGTGATTAGCTTAGCTTAAGAAAAACTGGGAGCAGAGAGAAACAACTGGCCTGGCTTTGTACAAAATTAAGTTGCAGTATAACTATTTCTTGGCAAACAGTAGTTTATCATTACACTCAGCACTTCTGTGTAGCTTGTTGTGACAAGGACAATTTTGAGAAGTCACTCCTTGCAGCTGTTGTTTACCTAGAATTAGCAACAGCCCATAATTCCCTCCATACCACAAATTACTGCTTTCACGTTATTGTTTGTGAACAGATTAAACAAAAAAGATACAATGTTTAATTAGTGAGCTATAAAGATGCTGGTTGGCAGATTTATTTACTTTGGAAAGAGCCAAGCTATCCTTTTCCCCCTTGCTTTCAGTCCATGGGCTAATTGCCCATAGGCTCTAGCTCCATATTTATTACAGACATGGGAGTGGTATCAATACTTTCATCTGACTTGTGGCAAGAAAGTGAATAAGCGTATGTCTTTCTCTTTGTATGGTATGTTACATCACACTCACACTTTTATCTTTATCCTTTATAAACTCAAAGCATTTTGTGACAAAAGTAATGATCTAGATGAGCCATTAGAATTCACTGAATGATAGTAGTCTCCACTCAGAAAGCCTTTGGCCACCATTTTATACTGTGTTGTAGCATTCACAACTTTGCCACTTTCACCCCTCGTCTGTTTCAATCTCTGCTGCAACGGTGCAAGTGACAGCAAGCAGAGCAGCGACAACCTTCACAGAAAATGTGAATCCTAATGCACACACACATGCACACCTACAGGCAGACTGATTTATCTAGACCTTAATCTCAGAGTGTATCAAATTTAAGACTGGAAGATAACGTGGGACAATAGCAGGAGACTAAGAGGGGCAGACAGCAAGAGATAAAAACAAGGATTTATTAAGGAATAACACATCAAACAGCTTTGTGCAAGACTTCACACTATCGCAGTCAACGTTATTGTCCTTAAATACGAGGCAGGCTCTTGACTCTTATCTTGACATCCTTCACCGAAAACTCCTGTGCTGCTTCATTTCTGCTCGGCAAGAAAAATGTTGCTCTCAAACCAAATGGTGTTAATCTGAAGCTGTTTTAAAGTACAGGACGCACAGTATTTGCCCTCACACTCTCTGGCTCTGTGAGCGCTTCTGGTCAGAACTTGGTTCGGTTAAGCGGTGGAAAAATGCCTTTGCCTTAAGCAGTCCAAGCTTTGAAAAACTGTTATCCCTTTGTACCTCCTTCGCCCTTCGAAACAATTTTTATCCTTGCACCCCCCCCACTTGATATCCCTCTCCCTCTCTTTCTTTCTTTCTCCAACAGTTTCCTCCCCATGAGCCCATAATCATGTTTTCAGCACATTTCCTCTCCTTGCCGCGCTATCATCTCTCATTAAAGATTCATAACTCTCTTGTGACCGCCGAGTTCTGCGAAAGATTCCAGTATAGCCACCTTCACTAAGTTCCCTGCCCCTTCCCTTGCTGTGTTTATCTTCGTGGGGAGGGGAGGGGGATGAGGAAAGACGGCACAAAGAGATATGCAAACTCCTTTAAAGAGTCGGGGGATGCAGGGGTGGGCAGGAGGGTGTTTTCATTTGGAGCACAGGGTGTGTGGAATAGAATTGATTTCACGGCTAAAGCGGAGCTCATAGACCAGTTAGAGAGCGGTAAATACATGATCACATCTCACATCCTCCTCACACATGAACACAAACAGAGACACACAAAGTCTACAGGAAGTGAAGCTGATAGCTGTTACGATGATAGATTTGAAAGCAGGACTGTATCTGTACACGCTCTGATGGATCAATACAGACGTAGAGTGGTTCAGCAATGACATCCCAGCAGCTTGTGAGTGTGGTTTCAGATTGATGCCAGGATTAAAATCAGCATTTATTACTGTGATGCCATCATTGAGTGTAACAGTCCCTACAAATCAGCTTTAACTTTATGCTTGTCATATTAGTGCAAAGTTAATATTAGGCTAACTACCCACTTTACAATGTGATTAGTTCCAGATGTGTTCCAGATGACTTTTCATAACAAACACTTGGTTAGTGTGCCCTCTGTTCCTGTGCTGAGAACCTCATCTGGGACATTCAGATTAGTGATGTGCCAGTCATGAAACAATCGCTCGAAACGACGAGTCCTCATCTCTACAAATTCACTCACTCTCTCACCCTGCCTGCCTGCTACTAGCAAGTGCAAACTGCCGAAGCGAAACCACATGTCAGCTACTATATTGTGGAACTCTTACATTAACTGTATTAAGGTATTAAACTAACCGAGAGGAGCAACCACTTTGGCACCTGTTTCAATTCAGTTCTCACTCTCCCAGCACGGGGCTCGCTCCCCGCCCTGAGCTGAAGGTCTGACTCGGGCTGCGTGTACCTTTTGCTTGTGAGTGACTGGATCACTTGATAACTCAGCTGTCAACTCCAGATGAGCAACTCTGGAACAGGTTGAGTGCCTCTGAGCAAGATCCCAGGAACAGCGCCAAGCTTCAAAGCAAATTTGATTTAGTGGTCAAACCCTGTAATTACAACTTGCCAGTCCTAGCATTTTTTGCCGCACAGAATCATGGAGAAAAGGAGTAGTGGTAAAATGGTGGATACATTATTTGGAGCATCACAAACCCCACAAAAATCACTTGTTTCAGTCAAGAGGCAGCCTCCAGGGCTGCAAAATGAATCCAACTTGAAAGTGCCAAAAACTGTAGTTCCTCACATGACCACTTGAGGGTGGCGCCAAGGGTGAGTCAATCTCCCATTACCATCCATGATAAATGGCTCAACTTGAAGCAAAAAAAAAAAACATTTTCACAGCCTAGTACAAAAAAGAATTTTGGTCTCTATGGCTAATTTCAACATTCATGGCAACTGTACATTTCATTAACGCCCAAAGTTCTGCATATGTATGGGCAAGACTGCGTGAGTGACAGGCTGTCTGTGTTTGTTTTTTTGTTTTGTTTTTTTTTTATTTCCAAGTGTCATACACCAAAGGTGCCCAGCCCTGACGGGCTTACAAGACACTTAAATCGACATGAAGGAGCCGAACAACATAACCAAAAGGAAAGCACAGGAAATGATGCTTTCATATATGCATCCACCCACCTACACACATATACATATATATACACACATACATACATATATATATACCCGTGGACATTTCTCACCTACATACATATTGATGTTAGGTGGTAATAGTGTTTCACACATATAGTGTACTCCTACACTGCTCGTATGCATTTTGGATGAACTTAGCTAATAGGAATACCTTTTCTGAAAATAAATAGTGGAGTCTGCCTTCATCAGACATTGAAAACAAATCCGGTCCATCTTCAGATAAA